TTTAGATGAATGGCTATCCCATGATAATTAACTGTCATTCATTTTTTTCCAATACGTAAATTATGAATTGTGCTGCAAAATCCTGTTTCAATATTCTTAAAAGTAGAACTAACTGGTTGTTTTCTCTTATGAGGTTACTTTAAATTATTAAACATTTTATCCAACAAACTGAGGGTCTTACCTTATATTATTGAGAAATTGTACTAATCAGTGTATTTATAAGCCTGATTATTTGGTTGGTTGGTAACATTTTAATACTTTTAATCATTAGACAAGGATATTTGTACAAAACTCTCTAGGTCTCTTGACAGGGTGAATATACACATAGTTAAATAGTTAATGATTATAGTAACTGGTTCCTCAATCTTCTTTTATTTTATTTTTGAGCAAAGACGTTATATGTACAGTCACTTAATTTGAATGGTGTTTTATTTTTATCTTTACAATTATGCGAAATAATTTTATCCAAATTATGATTTTATAGTTTAAGAATATATTGCTGTCTATTTTTATGGTTTTAAGGAAGAGAAGATGACTAGGGTTTTCACTGTAGAGGAATAGTACCAGAAATTCTTTAAGTCTTTTAGAACAAGATTAGCAATAGTTTTCTATATTAAGTTGTAATATGCATATGAATAGGGAATGAGAAGAGAGGTAACTCTGTAAGTTATATTGGAAATTCTTGCAGAGTTGTCTCCCTTCCATTAGATGTGTTTACAGTTTTATGTAAATTGGCTAACTTGTTATCCAGTTGCTACACTGAGTAAATACATAGTTACTCAGTCTGGTTGACCTGGTGTGCACAAAAGAACATGTGGTTATGAGTGTGATACTGTTTGTGAGCATTTGACCTAGCAATTAATGGAAAAGGTCTGGCTAAATGTTCCGCTACGAATAACCGGAAAGGTCCAATAGAATGGCCGTACATAAATAACTTTTATTTTATAATTGAATTGTTTTATGTTGTAATGTATGGACGAGACTCAAATTAAGAATATATATTTTCAATTGTATACGGTCGAAAGTAGTTAAGTATATATTAAAGCAATGTGCTGTAACATTTCAAAAGGGGCTATAAATATAATGTAATTCTAAAACGCAGCGAGGGTAAAAAATATAATTATGTGCTAATAGAGGGTACTTAAATAACAAATATGATTATGAGATACATAAGTGTTATAAAAATAGACTGTAGATAATGATTAACGAAGGATGTATTTGTGCGTAAAGAAAAATCGCGCTCGTATGTTTTGCTGTTCAAAAACTTTTAATATCATGGAGTACGGATGTATTGCTTGACGAAAATTTAATGAGCCGAAATTTAAAATACATATAATATTATGTAAAATAATATTATAAATAACTTAATTTAAAAACAATGATATGAAAAGAAATTAAGACTTTACACTGACAACACTGCAAGATATTTCAAAATAACGTTAATTTCCCGAAATATTATTATATGTTTGATGAGAAAATAATGTTATGGTTTTTATGACAGTCGAGCAATGCTGTGTGAATTTATTGTACAGCTATTTCATAACTGTCAAATATTACAGACTATTGTATGTTTTAGTAGTAGTAGTAGTGATGCGCTGCTGCTGCTTTAACTGCTTCTGGTACTACTACTACTGCTACTACTACTGCTGCTATAACACTACTGCTACTAATACTACTGCTACAACTGCTACTACTGATACAACTACTACTGCTGCTACTGCTACTGCTACTACTACTTCTACTACTACTGCTGCTACCGCTACTACTACTTGTACTACTACTGCTGCTCCTTCTACTGCTACTGCTACTAATACTGCTACTGTTACTGCTACTACTTCTACTACTACTACTGCTCCTGCTACTACTACCGCTACTACTATTACTACTGCTACTACTACTACTGCTACTACTCCTGCTACTGCTACTGCTTCTACTACTACTACTACTGCTTCTACTGCTACTGCTACTACTACTACTACTACTACTACTACTACTGCTTCTACTGCTACTGCTACTACTACTACTACTACTACTACTACTGCTGCTACTACTACTACTACTACTACTACTACTTCTACTACTACTACTACTACTACTACTACTACTACTACTACTACTACTGCTACTGCTACTACTACTACTACTACTACTACTACTACTGCTGCTACTGCTACTGCTACTGCTACTACTGCTGCTACTACTACTGTTGCTACTGCTACTACTACTACTACTACTGCTGCAACTGCTACTGCTACTGCTACTATTACTACTTCTACTACTACTGCTGTTACTTATTCTACTTTTACTACAGCTGCAGCAGAAGATTTACATGTTAATTTAGATTAAGGAAGATATCACACACATGTATATCACGGACACTCCATAATTGAACATCGTGTATATCGGTATTTGAGAGACCGGTGTGTATACAATGTATAATTGAGAGACAATTGATCAGTGTAGTGTGTGTGTGTGTGCATAAGACGCTTCAAGTTGTTGAAATCCTGTCATGCTGTATATAAAATTAAGAGGAAAACAAAATTTCCTTGAAATTACATCATTAAACATAATGTAAGCAGCACGTCTCAAGATCCATTATTATCTACTTATCTTCATAACAATAAGGAAAATGTTTTATAAACTAAAATATTTTGAAGTGTTTAAAGGAAGTAATTTACATATTGCATACAATTCACATACATAACCAAAATAGGCAAAAATAGCCCCTACTGCATTAGTCACGATGTAGACATTAGGTGATATTATATTTTGTCAATATTTTGCGTTGTAATTTCAAATGTAGTGTGTCAAGTCGTTGTAATAGTTTATGCTAATAAGTGAAAGTATGGGTTTTGAATCTGGAGATAAAACCCATATCACTCAGAGTAGATCACTTATCACTGAAAACTTTGCCGATTTTTTTTGTACCCTACGTATTATTTTATGTTTCCGTAAAGGTCATAAAACTGTATTATGTATCTTATTCTTTAAAGCAAATTTCTTGATTCAATTACAATAACTGCGCTAAAATGATAAATTTTCACAACAATAATAACTATAAGCTGTAATTTCTTTTGTTTTGCGCAGTAGTACGCGTGACGTCATTTTCATTACAAGGGCCCATTTCCCTTGCCTTAATGAAAATACTTAAAATAATAATAATAATAATAATAATATTAATAATATTAATAATAATAATAAAATATCATGTATATATATTGAATGTAAAGGTTAGATATTTTTATTCATTAATCCGACTGACACTCATATTTATTATAGTAATTATAGATAAACTCGTAATGATAAAACAAAATGGAAAATGAGGATATCAACATTTACAACAATTAAAGTATAAATGGTCAATGTTCGACATAAATAAATTTTAAAGTTGTTTTCGAAAGATTGTAAAGTTGAACATTGTTTGATAGTAAAAGGTAATTTATTCCAAACGTCAATACTGGAATAAGAAAAGGAATCCTTTAAATAATTTGTATGAGGTCTACTTTGCAGAACAATATCTTTATGAACGATTGAGCGTAAATTATGTTATTCATTGTGAGAGAAACTAAAAACTTCACTCATATATAAGGTGCCAGATCTTTCTTAAAGATTTATACACCATAATTGCTGTGTGGTATTTCAATCTGAAATTGAATTTCAGCCATTTAATATTATTAAAAAGAGCTAACGTTGGTGAACGTATCGGTCTATCAAGTATAATTTTTGCAGCTCTTTTTTGAATTGAGTTTACTTTATAGATGTATGAGTATGTGTCCTTTCCCTATACCATACAACAATAATCAAGCACAGGAAGGATGTACGCGTTGTAATATATCTTTTTTATTTCGTCAGTAAGCTCAAAAATGATATGTTTGAAGAGGGCAATTATTTTTGTATTTAGTTCTTTGCAAACAGAGTCAATTTGATAATGCCAGTATAATGTATTATCTACATAAATGCCCAATCACTTTTGAACTGTAACATTTTCAAGAGTTGTATCATTTACTTTCAGTAGGAGAGGATTACATTTCTTCACCTTTTTTGAAGAACCAATTACCATGCATATGTTTTTATGGGATGCAAAGACATTTTGATGCACAAAAATTTAATACCTTGAGTGATTGTATTTCTTTTATATATTATTTCTTTGCATTTCGGTATTTTCATTGTATATTTAAACAATTATGTTTTTGTCAACACACTCCTTATGTATGTGATAATATTTGTAAGTTTTTTTGACTTGGTTGCCATTTTAACTTTGTTATATACAAATTTCTAACTTAATTGTAAATACATAAATAAATAAATAAATAAGCATAGATTTTGTCCTTTGTTATCTGATTAAAAACACCGATACATAGTTTGTTTTTATGTAAACTACTTAAAAATATGACTCAATGGAAAAGATAAATGTGATCGCTATAATATTCACGACCACTTAAGCTAATACTTGGTAACACTCGACAGTTCCTCTTTTGCGACACTTGTCGTAATTATGAAACTTGTTTTAAATACACTTGTTAGGATAGAAAGGTCATGAAATTAAGTAGAGTTTTCTTTATTTCATAAATATATCACTTGCACTCTCACCGCTGTAAGTTCGAATCCCACCGGAGACTTTGGAATTTTTCATGTTAGGAAGCTAATCGGCTAGCTTACGAAACCTTGGTGGTTTTACTAAAATGCGGGCCCTTGTCTAAACTTAAGATTCAAGATTCAACATTCAAATATTTTATTTGGTAACGTAATGATGTCGTTTCTTACCACAAAGACACATACAGAAGATGATACAATAAAACTTGTCAACATTACACAATTTTACAGACACTTATAGTAACAGAAATTATTATAAATATTGCCAAATACTCGTGAGAGACAAAAAGGAAGACAGAAAACAAGGAGGATGAACGAATATACCGAATTTTATATATTATTTGACTTACAAATCACTACAAAAATAGCTCAAATGTTACACGAAATTAATAAAATATAACAAGGTCAATTTGCATATTACTTTAATTCAAAACGGTAGATACTATAATAATCTTATTAAGACAACATACTTTCTATACCTTGACATATTTTAAAGGTTCCATATATAAGATTACATTATTCAATTTGCATGTTGCTGTTGGTACTCTTCATTACAATATTACAATGTTTACGAAGTTACCGGATCGAACTCACACATCTTACAATATTCTTTTAACATAGACTGAAGAAAGTTTAACATTCATACAAAATAAAACGAATGATTTCAAAAATATTTATCAAAGTTTAATATAATAATTTAGTTCAATATTTTTCTCAGATTATTTTTATAAACATGCAAAGTTTTTTTTATATATCACATAATGAGAGGGGTCGTGTTCATTAATTCATCAAAATTTATTATATCTGGATTTCTTTTTAAATAAATTTCAGAGATTTATTTTTTTCTATCCGTATTAAGATTTGGGCATTCTAATAGAAAATGCAATTCGTCGCCTATGTTTTGATTGAAGAGGGTGCATTTTCTGTGTTCTAAAGGTATCCTATGCCAATTTCCAGTTTGGACCGGTAGTTTATGATTTCTAGTTCTGAATTTGATCATATATTTAAAATATTTGGTAGGTGTTTCACTAAGGTATTTCTCAATTTCAAGTTTTCTTTATAGACATCTGTTTTATGGAACTGTTCTGCCTTCAAATGTGCGGACATCAAAATATCAACATGCAGTCAAATGTTTTAAATGCTTTTTAAGAAAGTATTTACAATAGTGTTTAACACATACAATATTAGACAGATATTCAGAACTATACAATAAAGAATGCCTTTGTGTTTGATATTATGTCGACTCGTCTATTGTTAATCATTTAAATTGTTACTCTGTTCTCTGTCTGACTCTTTTAAAACAGTTCATTGTTGTTGATGATCATTTACCTCCGCGTGTGCTTACTGTTATACGTCCATCAATGATATCGAGTGTCTTGACGAATTTCTCCATATTCATGCTCAGATACTTGTAAAAACGAAAAGAAAAGAAAAATATTTCAGAATTATGAAACCAACTAAAATGTAGACTAAAAGTTTATATAATATAAACAGTTTATATGTTGATACTAAATTACTAAGGTATTTACAATACGATGACCTGAACAATTAACTCACAATTACCTTGAACTATTCCAAGATCCTCATAGTCAGGTGACTTTAACACAGGATCGCTCTTTGTTGCTGAAAAATAAACCTCTCAATATACTGATATTCTTGTAATATATCAATGCAACTTTACAGTTATTGACTACATAAAGGATTAAAAATAAATGTGATTGAAATATACAAGGTACGCTTTGGATACATGCTGCTGATTATTTTAACAAAAACAACAAGACCAACAACAAAAACAACTTAAAATGCCCGTACATTTATCTTGCGTGCGATTAAAGGACTTGCACAACATTTTTACTTCAGAACAATCAGGTATGCGATGAAGCATGAATGTACATCTTCATTGAAATATTCAAAATGCCAAATACTAAATATTATCAAGGTAAACCCTTAAACATATTCAAGGTATGTTATGATACTATAGATACGAAAGAAATTGTTAGTAATTACATATACGATTATTTTAGATAAAATGCACAGAAAGATCTAAGAAGCCAATTGAAAGTCTAGAAAACAGCAACAAGAAATACCTTGTTCAATTCCATGCTTGCTTGCACTGCCGGGATGTGCTGAATTTCCACATTCCATTTCAATGCCTGAAAATATTTGAACAATTATGTTACTATTTTATCTAAATTATAACGACTGAAAATATTTGAATAATTATGATACTATTTATCTAAATTATTACGCTTTAAACTCAGTGGTAGGAACATATTATTCCCTGCGGTCTGGAGACCGCAGGGTATTGGTACGCGTTTAACTTTTGAGGCATGGATGAGCACGTGACCTGTTTTCGGTACATGGAGGAGCATGTGATCTGTTAACCGTATATGATTGGTTAATTGACCTTTTTGAAAATCTAGCTAAATACCGTTTGCCGGTACGATACGGATTTACCTGTACGGAATTAGTAAGACCAATATTTCTAATTTTCTATAATTATTTTACCGTTTAAGGTGGAAAAACTTGAATGATAAGATATACTATGCTCAAATTTGATTTTTATAAATATTAATAATTGCTAAACAGTCTCTTTGCATGCATAAAATTAACATGTTTTGAATTCATTTAAAGTAGATATGTTATTTTTTGAACTCTACACAGTATAGGTGGTCACAATATGGTTATATAGTGTCATTAAAAAAAGCTGGCAGTTTTTTTAAAGAAAAGGCCAACTTTACTTGACCCATAATAGGGAATGCAGCTTTCCACACATAGTTTATTCATTATTTTATTCAAATTAAACATATTCAGGAAGTATTTCAAGGATTTCAATACCTTTCTAAGAAAATAATATTTTACCCAAAGATGAGCATAGTATATCTTCAATATCTATCTCAAATTTTACAAACAATAAATTGTTTATACTGAAAATCTACAAAATTAAAATATTTGTAGTGGCATCAGCTATAATAAATGGAGATATTTTCTGCGTAAACTTGTGTGTTTTCTTTATTTATTTTTTGCTCGGAATTATTCATAAAATGGTAGGCCTATTTAATCATTTTCTTAAAAAGAAATAATTGTTTTATGTTCGACCTTCTCCGGTCTTCAACGGTCACCAGTTTCCAAAGACGTTCTTCAATAGTGATCGTTTATTCAACTATATCCCTGATACAAACGTTTATTTATCCCCCCAAATAATGTTGAAAATAGTTAAATGAAATATCTTTATATCATTAAAATGTTCACCGCAGGAAACCATTTTACTTGTGATTCAGATTGGAAGTCATTTAATTAAGAACTGACCGTGCAAATGGAGATGCGGACTCTAAAATAATTGACATTAGTGCAAGAACTTGTTTCGCAATCGATTTTAAATAGATATGATAAAAATTGATATGAAGAACATAAAATTCTTAATGAAAAAAAATCATCCATCAGTAAAAAATAAGAACTAGTATATATTTACCTGAGTTTTCATAAACAGGTCCTTTTGCCTTGTAAGTATCATTGACCCTGTTATAAAAATGAAATATTGGACTTATTTGTTTAAGATCATTTGACTTGTCATTTATAAATACAACATTTATTCAGTACTCAAAAACTGTTGTAAAAGATTTATGTTGACAAGAAAATGGATACAAGTGATTCTAAATACGCGGAAGTAAAAAGCTGATAAAAATATAATGATGTGTTGCCTTTTAACATCGTATTTTGAAAGAACCATAAACAGGCTTTTTAGGATGATCTCACTCCTACAAATGTATTTTAAATTTGATAGTACTCTTAAGTTAAAATTGTTCAAGTTAAATCTTTAATTGTTTAAGAGAAATGTAACTTAGCAAAAAAGTTAATCAAGAAATTCAGAGATAAAAAGTTGGGGAGGGGGTATTACTAAGAAAAAACAATAGAATTACATGTCCTTTAGAAATGCATTCCAATTTAAAAATGCAACAAGTTTGACAGTTTTTCAAAAAGTGACCTTAGAAAAAAAAACAGTAAAAAGTACATAACTTTGGAAATATCAATTTTGGGATTATCTGCCCTGTCACATGTAAAACAAGTCTGAAGTTTTAAAGTGTCTGCGAAAATAGTGCTTCGCAAAAAAGGTTAATCAGGGATAAAATCAGGGCTAAAAAGTTGAAAAAGAGACATAACTTTGCAAAAAGAATAGAAATGACTTTTGAAATTGTGTTCATTCATCATGTTCATGACAAAAAAATGTATACCAAGTTCGAACTAGTTACTAGGTTTAACAGTTTCCGACGGCGAAATTAACGAGAGGGTCATGACAATAGTTACACTTCTTTCTTCATTTTTTTGAAAAGTTGAACTCAAAAGGCGGAAAGTTTTTAGAATTTTGACATAATTCATATATTGTACAGTATTTTTGCAACTTTCATGTTCTTTAAGTTCTATCTTGGACTTTAATTCAGTTGAATGTATTAACAATCTTTACCTTTTCCGATATTTCCGGAGAATCAACGTAACCACAAATATGATGTTAACAACTACTGACACAGCAAAAAATGTTCCAAATGAAATAGCAGCTGTATTTACTGACTGCTCTGAGGAACTTGAGTCTAAAAAAAACAGCGATAAACAACACAATTATCTTACCTTAGAAATAAAAGAGTGCTACATGGGTATACTTTAAGACATATTAAAAAAGTAAGTACATAAGTATATCACTATAAATTCATCAATACATAAAATTTAATCAAATGTCTTGCTTTTAATTGGCTTTCACATATTGTATTTTTATTCTGTACATAAACACGGGTATAATTGTTGTCGCAGGCACTTAAATTATTTTTATCATTAAAATCATAATCGTTAACATTATTTTTATCATCATTTGCAGCGGAAACAGCAACATCATCATCATTCCAAATATACAGAGGAGACATAATATGACATTACCACATAGCATAGCTAAAAATGAAAAGCATATATATCACGAATGGTGAAAAAAACGAGCTGTTTTGAATAAATCTTGCCTGATGTCAGAGGGCAAATGTGGTCATTCTTTACTTTCATTTTGCATCCTTTTGTACATTTGCCGTTGTCTTGCTCACAAAGTGTATCGCTGCAATAAACAGAACATTTCTCAGAACACTGTAAACCATGGAAACCATCTACGCATCCATATAGACACTTTCCATTACTTTGCTGACATATACTTCCATTCGCTGTTGTCTGAGTCTTGCATGTAGAGGCACATGCACAATTGCAACTTTCACCATAAAAGTTACTTTTACAACCGTCACAAAGACCTGATTCGATATGACAGGATTTTAGACAGTTCCGTGGACATTGTTTGTCACATTGGTCATTGAAGTATCCATACTTGCATTGTTTACACCTAGTATCTGACAAACATGTGATACATTTGTTATTATTTATACAACATCTGTCGCCAGAATAATTGTTTAAACAGCCATCAGAGCACGTTCCTGTATCTCTGTCACATACACCGTTCAAACAATTAGACGGACATCTCTCAGAGCAAAGTGAACCATAGAAACCAGGACGACATCTATCACATTTCTCTCCATCAAAGTTGACACGACAGCTTATACATTTACCGGAGTCTTTTAAGCAGCCTTTCTCGTCACAGTTATTTGGACAGTCGCGTTGGCATGTATCACCATATTTGCCAGGAATGCACTGATAGCATTGTTCTTCTATAAAGTTATCAAAACATCCATATGAGCATTCACCATTGCTTTTCTCACATTGCTGATTTTTACAGCCGACAGAACAAGATATGTTACAGTATTGTCCATACCAGCCTATTAAACAGACGTCACATTTATCACCAACGATCGTGTCTATAGCGCATCCGTCTGTACAATATCCGTAATCTTTTTCACATACGTTACCTTTACACCCTGCAGGACATTGTTGATCGCAAAAATGTCCATATTTCCCGTTTTTGCATTTATCACATCTTACTCCAGCAAAATTAGGAGAACAATCACAGTTACCAGTTAGTATATTGCAAGTGTTTGACATACAACCACCTGAACAACTGTTGTCGCATGTCGTTCCATAAAGACCACTTTTACAAAGCGAGCAACTGTTATAGGACGAACAGCGTGCACAGTTATCTCGACATTTGTATGTACAGTCGTTCAACAAAGGAGGGTTATTGTTGTCGTTCTGGTAACCTTTATAAAACCCATCCTTACATGGTCCACAATTATATTCGATGTACACGTGACACATTTACCTGGACATAAACTATTACATTTCATTACTGGTATCGTAATATCCGTCCCTGCATGATGCACATTGACCATTATCGCAATTGCAATTTTCAGGACAGTTACGAATACTGCAATCATTTTGACCAACGGCGTTGTCATATCCCTCCTTGCATGATATACACGTGGTTCCTGATGTGCATGCTCGACATCCGGGTAAACATTGTGATGTGCAGTCTCTAGCTGAGCCGGGGTAATATCCATCATAACATTTATTACACGTATCTATATTATCACGGCATTGTGTACAATTGTGTGTACATTTCTCCTCACAGCGAGCACCTCTATAACCATCAATACAGCCTCGAGTACATTCGTTATTAAACCATGGTCCTGGTCCACATTGTCTATCTATGCAGCATGCACAATCTACAATACATTGTTTATCTACCCCTATAATGGAAAAAAAGAATATTTCAGTAATTCTACCAACACTTTTTTGTGCTTCATGTATGTTTATTTCTTTTAACGTGAATTATGATTTCAATTAACAAAGATAAATATCACATAAATATCTGTAGTACCAATGTAAATTTAGTTACCTCCTTCTACCTGGTTGTTGCTATTATTTAACCATATACACAATACAAGCAATATCTGAAATATATAATGTAATTTCACTTATAATACATGTGCAATACTTATTTTCTTTGCTTGGTTAAACCATACATATTCATAATTAATTATAAAAGTATTATTTGAATTGAAACTAGTGTGCTTTTGTCACAATCTTTTAAACATTTACCAAAATTCAATATGTCTGTAAATGCTTTTACATAGAAGATTAGAAACTACCTATATTGACTTTTGATTTGACAACTCTTTCATACAGACTATTCAATAATACAATAGGGTAGATAGCTTCAATTTTTTCTCTAAACAATCTTTTCTTTCAGTTTGAATTTTATGTAAAGTATTAAATTATTTAGTTTCTTGTAGCTTATTTGAACTGATCTACAGGTCGCTTCATAGAACTAACCAGTAATGATGGAGGATGTGAAAACATAATTATGATCCAAGTGGAGTTTGTACCTACGACCCCTGGGTTGAGGGGCAATCACATTAACCACTGATCATCCATCGCACGCTTCTGTCTAGATGTCTTTAACCTTAGTTTTTATCATTTTATTATCGAACTGTTTATTTGTAATAAAGGCTTATAAACTATTGAAAGATTAGTTCATTGAACATATAATCTTGTTATGAAACATGTGTCTAGGGATACTCATTTACATAATTAATAATTTGTTGAAATTTCTAGAATTTTGATATTAGTATATCGTTTTTACAAATGAACAAAAAACTTTAAGTAAAACATAATTAAAAATTGTACATCGTCAATTTGAATCAATGAAATAAAAGCAACAATTCTGATCAAGGATAATATGTAAGATAAAATATTGAATAAATAAAGGCATATTAATAAAATAACTAACAGAGTATTGATTTTATGAGCTCTAAATTTGAAGGGATAACATGTAGGTACGTCAAATATTAACCAAAGGATAGACGATGTTAATTAATGTACATTTCCAAAGGAATTTCCTAGGGAAATTTGATCCTGTGACATTGTAAATTAAATGACAGCATGACGCAAAAAAGAAGAAAGTACATGCCTACCGGATCATTAAATGCATAAATGTTTATTTTAACTACATAAAATGTAAAATCATTTTGTTCTGACTTAAGCTGACTTGTTTAAGACCTCTTTTCTAAAAATATCATCCTCTATGCATTTGTAGGTTTATACACATCTGCGGATAATTCTAAATTCAAAATTATACCATTACACGTTTAAATGTTGAATACTGCTTAAGCCGGTGCTTGCGGGCATGGACTGTATATTGCTCTTTCAAGTACTGTTCATGAACAGGCTCAATCAAACCGAGCCTGCAACATTATTTTGCCGTTTTGAACTTTCTTTAAGGATTCTATTTCTCTCTAATTTATTCGTAAAACAGCCTTTCACTTCTTCTTCCATTTAAGACAGTATCATACTTCCAGACCTTCCTTGATAAACGTCATCAATACTTTCATTTGAAATTCTTTCTCTAAGCAAAATCTTTGAACATTTTCCCATGGCATGAAAACTCTCCAAAAAAATCTTTTCATAATAAATCAGCAAATAATGTTACATATTTCACTATTTGCATTGCTAAAATCTGTAACGACATCTAGTTAAAAGTGAAGAGAACTTAAATACGTTTACAGTTCAATTCACAATTCAGGGTATTGTATTGTTCAAATGGCGGGGCAGTAAGAATTTCTTAGCAACATATCGGCTATTTCCGTCAGTCTTCGGATAAGCTCTAATTAATAATAATCAGCTAGGTGTGTCGAGGTTTAATGGGGTCATACTAAATACTGCATAGTCCGACATAGACCGACAAAGAGCAATAAATACTGCAAAGTGGCTGGTTCTATTAATGTGGATGTTCGTGCCTATAATAACGCAGAGAGGGGCAACTGAGGTCCACCAGCTAAGCTGGAAAGTCGCAATGTGACCTTACTGTGTTGGTGTGACGTAAAATTCAAGAAACATCTATTTGTATCAGACTGCTAATACGAGATTTATACACGGCAGAGTAGGGCCGGAAGTTGATAATCTGCCCACAAAAAGAATAATGACCCCGAGGGCTTCAGCCCGAGGGTATTATTCATTTCACGGTCGATTATCACTTTCTGTATTAATGTCTTTAATACACTTGGAAGATATAATAGTAACATTTTTCTGAAATAAAAACTACTTTGAAATTTCTTTCGTTGAAATTCCTGTCTGCATTTCTACTGTACAGTACAGAACAGTAACTTTTACAGAGTTGTTTACTTTTGTATGTTCAAAGTACACGACTGTAGAATCTAGAAGCAAGTTTTTTTTCAGTTTTTTTTCGGAATGAATTTGTCGTATTTTTTTAAATTTCAAAAGTAATAAAACTGTGTGTGTACGAAATACGCTTCAGCTATCATAATAAAATCAAGCGATTCATGCTTAAAACCTACTTTCACTTTTACACTTAACTGACGTAAAATGTGACATTGTTTCAGTTTGTGCACGTGCACGTGTTCAGTGGGTTGATAACTAGTTCTCGGCCCCGGGCCGCAAACTCATAATAGTTCACGTGACACTCATAATCAGTTGAAATCACAGGCGATTTTGTTACTATATACAGTGTCAAGTGTACTAATATTGTATACCGGTATATTGCTGTAAGTACTAGCATTCTGCAATCTGAATGACAACTTGATTATTTTTACAGAAGTCACATATATGATCTTTAAAGGCACATTCAATATGTTCGCTGAGTTCAAATCAGTCGTACTGTATAAAATCTATATAGGAATTCCTGATGGGGTAAATTACTACTTGATGTCTCACAAATAAGACTTAGTTGCGTTAATATATCGAGGGGTGAAAGCGAAAAGGTTCTAACTCACTGTTTTTTACAAAATTCACTTTTTTTATATATTTGTAACATAAAAACCCATATACATCTTATGTCAAAATATATAAGATTTAGTTTACTTATAAAAGGGTGAAATGAAAAATTGTCGAAAGGTTCTAAGTGATATTAACCTTTTTTTAAAAAGCGAAAAGGTTCTAACTGCAAATGGCAGTTAGAACCTTTTCGCATTCATTGAGTATAAAATGTACAAGATTAAATAAAAACAACTCAAACTGCATTAAAATAAGTGAAATCAAAGCAATTTGAAAGCTAAACCTTTTATTGTATATTATTAAATAATATCACATAAGAAATTCATTAGTTTCAGAGTAGATTTTGGAAGAAAACTTAAGTACTTAAAACTGTTTCGCAGTTAACTCCACTCATGAAATTATCGATTTTTTAAAAGGGAAACAGTTCTAAGTGTACATGGCCAGTAATGATCATGCACTATCTTAAAGGGTTTTAAGTGCCTGTGAAAAATTGTGTGATGATATTAAAGGTAGGGCTATAGATGACGGTAAGAAATCTGATAATGTTACTGAAAGTGGTGCTTAAGCTGGTTGTAATTAATCCAGGGACATAATTGAAGAAAATTTAAGCTTTAAGCTGTGGTCTCACACCCTGGCAGAGCCCTGGTAGACGTCCGAGGATGATCCAGGAACAACCGGGATACATTCATAACTTTGCCTGCAACGTCCGGGATGATCCGGAACATTCGGCATTCGACCCCGGATGGAATGAAATATTTAATATCACCGGGGTGATCAGGGAAGGTGGGAAGGTGAATGAAAGTGGAGCTATGTGTGCCTCTGAGATATTAGGTAACGTGAATGAAAGTGGAGCTATGTATGCCTCTGAGATATTAAGTAACGCGAATGAAAGTGGAGCTATGTGTGCCTCTGAAATATTAAGTAACGTGAATGAAAGTGGAGCTATGTATGCCTCTGAGATATTAAGTAACTTGAATGAAAGTTGAGCTATGTGTGCATCTGAGATATTAAGTAACGTGAATGAAAGTGGAGCTATGTGTGCCTCTGAGATATTAAGTAACGCGAATGAAAGTGGAGCTATGTGTGCCTCTGAGATATTAAATAAGGTGAATGTGAGTGGAGCTATGTGTGCCTCTGAGATATTAAGTAACGTGAATAAAAGTGGAGCTATGTGTGCCTCTGAGATATTAAATAAGGTGAATGAAAGTGGAGCTATGTGTGCCTCTGAGATATTAAGTAACGTGAATAAAAGTGGAGCTGTGTGTACCTCTGAAATATTAAGTAACGTGAATAAAAGTGGAGCTATTTGTGCCTCTGAGATATTAAGTAACGTGAATGAAAGTGGAGCTATGTGTGCCTCTGAGATATTAAGTAACGTGAATGAAAGTGGAGCTATGTGTGCCTCTGAGATATTAAAAAATGTTAATGTAGGTGGAGCTATGTGTGCCTCTGAGATATTAAGTAGCGTGAATGAAAGTGGAGCTATGTGTGCCTCTGGGATATTAAGTAACGTGAATGAAAGTGGAGCTATGTGTGCCTCTGAGATGTTAAGCAACGTGAATGAAAGTGTAGCTATGTGTGCTCTGAGATATTAAGTAACGTGAATGAAAGTGGAGCTATGTGTGCCTCTGAGATATTAAGTAAGGTGAATGAAAATGGAGCTATGTGTGCCTCTGAAATATTAAGTAACGTGAATGAAAGTGGAGCTATGTGTGCCTCTGAGATATTAAATAACATGAATGAAAGTAGAGCTATGTGTGCCTCTGAAATATTAAGTAACGTGAATGAAAGTGGAGCTATGTGTGCCTCTGAAATATTAAGTAACGTGAATGAAAGTGGAGCTATGTGTGCCTTCTGAGATATTAAAAAATGTTAATGAAGGTGGAGCTATGGGTGACTTTGATGTATAAACAATGTAAAAGAAAGTATAGTTATGGGTCACACTTATGCTAATGAATGTGGCCTTTGGGGCTTGGCCTTGAGACATATCATCTCTTCTTTGTATTGTTGCTACATGGAGGTGTCTCAAGTGTGTTACCCATATAATAAAAAAAACATGTGCAAGTAATATGTCATGCAGAATTTGTAAAATATATTTTCAGTTCAAATATATTCTGGGACTGTTTGTGAAACTGTTTATTGCAAAGATATTATTGCACTTTGAATGAAGTTTCAGACAAGTCCAACAAGTTTTTCAGAGAATATTGTTCACTATTATATGATTTAGAAATAGCTGTAATCTCATTGGTTCAAACAGTGGTAATCAAAATCATATTCACTGGCTGAATCGGATTTTCCCTATCTAAATTAGAATCAGACTCATATCCTAAATAAACCTCAACATGGGTATGCCAGATACGTTGCGTCATTTGAGCGCATTTTATTTATGAACAGCATTAAAGTGTCATTTTGGCGCATTTTAGAATGAAACTATGGGCTAAGGATGACCTCATTAAGCCGCTTATAATATTTAAATTGTTTAAAAATAAATGCATAATTTATTGTTAGAAAATAGTTGTGGATGAAATGACATTAATTTCCATGAATAAATATCTTATTGAAGGTAACCATTTTAAATATGAAAGAATATGAATGTAACTGTTTTATTTTGAATATTAAAGAATATGACAGAAAATGCAAGAAAACAAGAGCTGTCACAGGAGACAGCGAAGCTCGACCCATCAAATACTGGATGCAGTAAGGAAGACGAAACTATGAAAGAAAACTCAATTATGATATAAATATATTTTTGTATCAGTATCAAGAAAGCAGTCAAATGTTCTATATTTTACACAACATAATGATCTTGTCAATAAACTTAATGTTACTTTAATGGAAAGACAGCAATTTGAAATCTGAAGTCAATTCTTTCAAAAACAAAAATGATAAAAGCAAAAAGAATTTAAAGTAAATTATAAGTTCAAAGTGGAAACAACTCTTGAAATAAGAAGCTAGAGTTATGAACCTTGTCATGCATGATGTGACTAATGACAAAGAACAATAATTTATCTTAAGTCTAGAGTAGACACCATTTATAACAACAAAGATAATACTACAAAAATCAATTTACAAATGAATTTCAAAAATTAAATGGGGATAATTCTGGGAATACAGGAGCTTGCATTTTATAACTCTTATCCATATGAGAAGAAGTTATAGTAAAAAAAACATTTGTTAACATAAATTCAAAGCTCAAGGGGGAATAATACTTGAAGTAGTAACGCCAGAGTTATGTACCATGTCACACAACTTGTAATGATCAAGAAATAATATCGATCTTAGCGGTGTTTATTGGCTATTTAACACCGGTTTGGAGTTTTGATGCATAGGAATTGACCACGAAGGCCGAAGAACATATATTTGAAGTTTGAAGTTGATACCTTAAGTATTTTACTGCACCAAAACTTTAAAACTGAAATCTGGACGCGGATGCCAGTGCAAGGACAGCTCTCCATATACTTTGTATAGTTCAGCTAAAAATGATTATCAAATTAATTGGCATTTGTTTTTTGTTTTTCAGGTGTAATTAATGCCCATCATGTTCTTTCAAAGTTGTGTACACTATCAATTATGACCTTTATTTATGTTTCTAATTTAAACACAGCCAAACTTAAAATTTCATGAACTTGAAAGTGGAGTAAGAGAATATCTCACACCTAAAATATGAAATCAATATAAAAAGTAAATGCTAAACAGTCCTATCTGGCAATTTATACTCCATCTCTTACTGAATAATTAGAAATGCCAAAATGTTGCTCTATCTTAAATTAAATAAGAAAAAAGACATGCTTTTGTCTATCAAAATGTCACTTGGAACCTTTTCGCTTTTAACATAAAAATCAAAATATGAGAAATTTTAAGTGCGAAACAGTTCTAAGTTATATTTGATTAAATATCTTGTTTGCCAAGTCTTTCGTAGAATTTTTATTATCATTGACATGTTTCTTTAACTTTTTTATGTGTAAAATCAAAGTGTTGTGGAATTTTGCTCTTTTACAAACATTTGAGACAGTTTTTTGCTTATCCTGTAAAATTTTGGAAAATGCACTTAGAACCTTTTCACTTTCACCCCTCGATATGTTTGTCAAAAAATTATGTGATTTAATATTTTTAAACAAAGTTGAACTTCATCAAGGTACATATGTATTCTATTCATCAATGCCGCAAGTATTTGATAACTTCAAATGAAGCCAAAGATATATTTAGTAGTCATCATGTATTGTGATTTCAATCACAGACACTGGGCTTGTAGGCCTTAGCCTTTTCCGCCCCTGAATATTAAACAATTTGTGTATAAGAGCTAGTGTTAAATGCTTAACTGTTTGCACATATTAGTTTAACACCTTCTTGTGTCTAACACGGTTACATGTTTGAACAGAATTTCATATCGTTTATATCAGTCAATATTTAACACACGCTTCATTTTTTTTCTGAAATACCAAGCTTCGAAATGTAAACATGGATTTCAAGCATTTATGTTATTGCATGCCATTCTTTTCTGGTGTTAATCAGTAGAGGTACATATTCTTTTAATAAATAAAAACATGCATATGTTAGTACTATCCAATCTACCTTTCTTTCAAACAACATTTTCCACAACGTGTCGTTTTGGAAATCATAACGAATTAGCTAGCTCACAGGAAAACACAAAACTTGGTAGTAACCAGTGCCGAATGAAAACATACGGCATCAACATCTCTCACACGTGCCAATGATCTATATTGTCGAGAGCGGATTCAAGGTAATCAAAATAAAATATATTCCGATTTTTATTTACAGGAAGTGCTTAAATATCCTTTATATGTAACTATGCTGAGCGCTAAGCAACTGCGATATTTACGTGATTATTAGATTGCCTGGATGAAATTCATGTGATGAGAAAAAGATGCGCTTGTTTTATTTTGTATAGAATTTTGGCCGGAACTCGGCATGAAATGAATGCCGTATCCTTACACATTACAGGAAAGAGTACGTTGTTATATTTATGAAATTATGATACTTTAGGGAGTTTTTGTTAACGTTGTCAATATAGCGGAAAACAATTTTATGTTTAAGACCGGTAGTAGTATGCTACATTATTCTGACATAAATTTAACAGGGGTGTGTACAAGAGCGGAACAAGTAGGGAAGTCTCTCACATAACTCCAAGTGTCTATGATTTAAATGATATTTTATAATTAATGATATTAACATTGAGTAAATTGCATGCTGTTGAACTTAAATCTTCTAGTTCATACAACAAGATGCTTCAATATTTTTTTTACATTTTTAATTGGTCAGAACGAAAATACAAGCGTTTTTCATGTAAGATTTATTTGTTATTTTACTCAATCAAAGATTTCGACAGCAGTAAAAATAATTAATTATATATTTGTTATATACATTTATTTTAAAGAACCTGAATATTGAATCTTGAAAAATATTTGAAGAATACTATTCCGCTGATTATGAAAACATTATTATAAAAAATAAACTTATATTTCATATCATTATCTTAAAGTGACATTATGCCCATCCAAATGTATAAATAAGTGTACATGTGGAAGTCAAAATAAGTTTTCATTTTGCCATTATTCCTTTCGGTATAAACAATTATTTCACATTTACAAGGGATCCAAACAATTTTGTTGGTAAGTATCTATTAGAATTTACCAGTAACGTTCAGTTCATTAAACGTGGGGCCAGTCTTTTTATATTTTAGGCAGATTTTAATTTTATCCAAAACATTTTCCAATATGAACTGTTTGTCAATCAACATTTTAAAAGTCAATATTTTGAAATATATAATCAGTTAAGTTCAACTTGAAAATAAGAGCATAATGTTAACTATTATTAAATATTGTCAAATTCCAGTAAATGGATAAGTAGCACTAAGAAGGAAGACAACAAGTAAATACGGAAGCATACAGGGGACATTCGATTTTTGTCCTATCTCGTGGCGTTAGATATGACTCAGAAAAAAACAAAATATTCAATATTCAAAGTGAGCATCAATAAGTTGTAAATCATTCTTACATTCCAAGTTTATCTTAAAAATATGGATCATATAATGTCTAACTTGATTTGTTACTAAGTAAATATTGCAGTACAGATCCTTAGTACAAAGTTTCAGAGCCATTATGTTTGACCGTGGTTGATATAATGTCTAACTTGATTTGTTACTAAGTAAATATTGCAGTACAGATCCTTAGTACAAAGTTTCAGAGCCATTATGTTTGACCGTGGTTGAATAATTCAAAATAACTGAACCATTCATGAGTATGTTAATCAGAAAATGGCAACGTTTATAATTATATTATTTGTAAATTAAAACACATTTAAAAAAATCTATGTTAAGAGAAAACTCTTCAATATTTTTTTTGGAATTATAGTGTAAACATACTATGTTATTTTATGCACTTCATAAGTCTTTATTAATTTAAATGAATTTGATTTGTGAAAATTCTGATCAATATAAAATATAAGAGTGATATAACATAAACAGAAGCTCGGATATACAGTAGTTGCCTTAATCAACAGGCAAATCTGGTTTTACACACCTGTAAGATCGTTGACATTTATCATGGTGAAGGTTCGAGTCCATTACAAGACCAACATTTTACATCTCAACAACATATCACCTCCCTTGGATCAGATTTTCATTTACGTTAAAGTTGCACTTATTATTGACATAATGATAACAGAACTATTCTAAAGGGTTTAAATTATATATTTAATTGGTAGGATAGCTAATAAGAAATTGATAAATAAAAGATTTGATTTGTGATATAGATGGAATAGACTTTAAACTAATTAAAATATTTGAGATTTTGTGTAGGAAATAATACTAACTTGTCACAGTACAGTCTCTACAAATACATTAAATTGAATTGTAATGATTTATGTACCGTATGAAAATATGTCATTTACGGCAGAAAAAAAGTATGTCGAATGCAAACGAATCATTTAAAAGGATATATGAAAAGTTAAATTTTTCAATGTACCTACGTACCAAATTTGAACTCCACTTCATTGTTCCAAAATAAAGATATAGGTATTATTTATCCCAAAAATTGCTAACGGAACATTCAATATAACCTCAATCGTTGAAAAAACAACAACTTATTTTCCCAAGTAGGAAGTTTAAAAATCCGTTCAAGTGTGCGTGTTATATATAAAATAAGAGGTACAAATCATGTCTTATTATCATATCTTAACGATTGAACGATTATATCTAGTATTATGTTACACTGACTAAAATACTTGATGAACTAACATTTATTGAAATGCATCTTACTTAAAGTCTATAAAATCTAGTTTTAATTTTGTAAAAAATATATAAATACTTATATGTGTTTTCTCATCAACAACGAATGGCACATGCAAGAAATAGTTAACACTCTATATATCATAGCACCAAAATATTTTGTTATTTGTTATTTTATCAAAAAATATTCAGATGATATGGCTTGACACGCTTTAAACCTAGAGTATACTGTAATGTCATGAAAGTTTTATAATGTCACTGGCGCGCAATGCAAAAAAGTATGGATATACGGAAGTGTACGGAATTCCGTATACATGTATGATTAATATGGGGGTAATGCGGAAATGTTCGGGATCGTTTATGAATCCGTATTTGACTTATATACGGGAACTTGTTAGTACTGTGTCAATACTGAGATTTATAATCAGTCCGTATATTAATAAAAACGAAATTCAATATTCTTGCAATTGCTGATTTTGTTAAGATTAAGATTAATTCCTGAATAATCCATTTCCTATAAGAGGAAATAAATAATATCATCTATCAATTCTTGTTATCATGTTGTATTTCCTGGATTTATTTACGTGTAAATTGCATACTTATAATATATGGTCCGTGTAAAACATAGATCTTTTACAGCGTCAGTCGCATGCACAGAACAAAATGACAATATGCATTCAAATATCTCTTTATTTATATAAAGATATGCAACGCAATACGGTATTCTAGCTTAGGTAATTTTGGTTCGCTTTTTGCCTATTCATTTCTACTGATTTCTAGTAATTCGAATGTAATAGAGTTGGAAGGGTTTTAAAGTAATGATTTATATCGTCAATTCAGACATCGCAAAGCTAAAAGAAATAGCGATGATATTGTTGTTTATCTCAGGAATTATGTAAATCATTTAAATAGTAAAAATATACATAACACGACTATTTGGTTTACGTTTCATAATTATTTCTTTAATAATACTTTTGACATTTTTTAAGCTGCATTTTATTTATGGGAGAATACTCACCAATTGCAAATTTGATAGACATATATTTATTCAACTGTTTGCAAAATGATAATTTTAGAACATTTTAAGTCAAAAGGCACGGTAATAATCTTAGGTGATTGTAATGCAAAGGCATCGTGAAAACATGACTACATATTATAATCAATTTGTGCCAGACATCGACTCCGATGATTTTTATGTTGATAACACTTGCCAAGATTTTCAATAGATAAGGGGAGTAACTGATATGGTAATAGAATAAAAGACATGAGCAAAGTTACTTCCCTTAAAATGGCAAACGGTCGCTTTGGAAAGATGTTTTTACATTTTTATGATTACAATGGTGATAGCTTGATAGAATATTAATTATTGTGTGAAAAAGATTTTGAAATGAAAAACAATTTTCATGTCTGTAATTTTAAATAATGTAGCGACAATGATGCTTTAAACATTGACATTTTGTGAGACCCAGTAAACGCAAATAGATCCAAAATATTTAATTATGAGTAAATCAATTATAGCGACATTGATACAGAATTATATCTTTCTGTAATAATAGCAAAATTGCCTGTTTTAAATGATATATTAATAAAATGTGATGAAAATAATGTAAACTATGGTGGCTGATTAATGCCATTCATGTTTTCGTTCCGCGATCCTGCCAAGCGAAAACTTGAAAATTAAAAAGTTTAAAAATCGGGGGCGTGAAGCGAAACCATGTGTATTAGCTGAGCGCGTGCAAAAAGTGGATATTTAATTGTAATACAGAGGGGAGGGAACGCGAACTTTTTATTATCATTAGACGCTAATAAGCATGCTGACTTTCGCGCCTCCGCCAAATCATTTTTAAAAAGCTTTTCCCTCCGCGCCCTCACTATGAAGCGGGCTTACGCTCCGCACCTCCGTCGTTTTATTTCTTAAATCTCGCCCTGGCATAGCGACATTTTACTTATTTGATTTCGCCCCGGGTCTCCGCCAAATATTATTGATTTTGCTGCTCGCCACGCCATTTTATTTATCAAATCTCCCTCCGAGCCCCCACTAGGCGACGTTTTATCTTTTATTTATCGCCATGTTTCCCCGCGTATAAGCGTGTTTTCGCCCCGCGATCCCGGCAAGCAAGCGAAACGTAAAAAAATAACCTAATTTGAACGGCAATGCGCGGAGTGAAAACACGCTCCGCGCTGCCATTTTATTTTTTTATTTCGACTTTTTGCTGGGCGAGGTCGCGGGTCGATAACACGCTTAATAGTGGAGGCGCGGGCGAAGTTTTAAAAACTCGTCACGCACCCCGCTCATGAGCGTGGTTTTCGCTCCGCGCCCCGCTGTTTTATTTGTGAAATCTCCCTACGGGCCACAAAGGGTCGAATATTTATTAATTAAACTTTGCACCGACCCGCCATTTAAACTTGTTAATTCTCGACGTTTCGCTTGGCGTGGACGCGGGCGAGAATACCAATGGCACAAATCGGACACAATAGGTAACGTTAAAAGTACTTTATTCAGTAAAAATCTAAAACATGTAAGCCTATAGGAACAATATCCAAATGAAGTATTTATACGTTGTTATATAAATAACACATAGGTTTGTGAGCAACGGAAAAACAATTTAAATCAATATGAAATCAATAATATGAAAATAAATTAAGAATTAACATTAACAACACTTCAATATATTTCAAAATGACGTTTGTTATTTCCTTCCCACAAAACCTTTTTTTCAAAATTATTATATCATGTTTTATGAGAAAATTATGTTAAGGTTCTTATGACATTCGAACATAGGGTATGAATATATTGTTCAATGTACACTTATATCATAATTGTCAAATGTTTACTGATGTATATTAAAAATGTCAATTTGCATTGGTTTTTCTAGTTAAAGTTAAAAACGGATTAATGTAATGTATCACTGAAAGATTGCATATTGATATTCCTTGTTACTATTCTACATGCATTTTTATTTACCAAATGACAAACATAATAAAGCACCAGGGAAGTTTTTGTAAACTTTTAAAACTATATTGATCACCAAAAGTTATTTATTGTTTTGTTAAATATTATTAGTCATTCAAAGTGAATGTGCCTATGAATGTATTTTAAAACGTGACTTTGAACATTTGAAAAACATTATAATTTATAAAAGAATGAAATATATTGTTACATTTTCAGATGGTAAAATAGGCGGGCGCTGTTTAATTGACTGCGTATGCTGTAAAAATGTGGATGTAATGGTTTATTTCCTGGAGGAAATTGTAATGATGGGCGTATTGATATATATGGAAGCGATCGCACTACATGTACTCGTAAATGTCCGAAATATGACAGTGATGCCGATATCTGCAAGTCGTGTTATGACTGTTTTTACCTTGACGGTACCAAAGACTTTTCAGAGGAGTGTCCTTCTGAATGTTTATTCTGTACATCGTTTCAATTTGAACTTATTTCTTAAAAAAAAAAACTTACAATGAACATTCCTCTACAGCCTACAGGTTTTGTAAATGTCCGGAAAAACTGTAAATGTAATCAACATGTACATATATGTGTTAAATGTCAGTCGGGTTATTTAGGTCCTAGCACTACATGTCTTTAACTATAAAATATGTCTATCAACAGAACTCTGCCAGTCATGTGAAGCCGAATATTACAATGACAACAAGTTTAATAGTTCTCAAAATGCTGTGAAGAATAATAGTGTTCATCAATGCCCAGCTGAATGAACAAGTTACTTGTCTTTCAATAATTTTAAATACTCAACGTAACATCGTATAGTTGTTTACGGGCATTGTATAATAAAACTGGTTTGTCACAGTTCGTGAGTAAGAGTTCATGTTTGGCGGGTATTGATTGATGGAATCAGTTCTAGCGAGATTTTCTAGGTGGCAATTTCAAATTCAAGAATGTTATAAGACGTGTAGTACCTTTGGTCATATTGATTTTCTTTTTTATCATGTTCTTGGGCGGCTGTCATTCCTAAGACGGATTTACGATCAATTTTGTGCAAAGTACATTTTTCATAAATTTGTTCGGAACATGCTTGTAAATGTTACCTCATAATTTTGCATAACGTCAAGATAATGTGATCTGTCAATCAATTCATTTTATATATTGAAAGACATAATAATACAGATTATTATTTTCATATCCGTGTATTAGATATATACTGTTCAGTAGGATGTGTATTCCTCCATTGTCTAAGTTTTGGTTTATATGAATGTGAAACATATGTAACATATTTAGTCGTGCACATACAATAAATAAGCATTTCTCTCGCCAACGCATAACAGAGTTGTTATTTCTTTGTTTTTTGTAGAAAGATGGTTCGGACTTGTACATCATGTATGCCGGATATATTTGGTTCAACATGTTCTATAAACTGTTAATACGATGCTTGTAATCGACATGGTGGATTTTGTTGTCACGGTTGTAATGAACAAAACCCATGACAAAAACAATATAGTGCTTTTGAGAACAGCTTGAATCCAGACCAGCCTGCACATCCGGACAGTCTGATCAGGATTCATGATGTTCGCTATCAGTTTCTCTACTCGTAATAGGGTTTTTAAGCGAACAGCATGGATACTGATCAGACTGCACGGATGCGCAGACTGGTCTAGATCCATGATGGCCGCAAACGCACTATGTTGGTTTTGTCATGGCGCGGATCCGTGACATGACATTTCCAACATATTGGTCAAATGACGTAATGGTAGAAACGTTATGCCACTTTTTTTCTAATTATACGACAGGCGCTTCAAAACTGTCAATTGTCAACTGTCAAATCAAAACTGTGCAGTTTTATACAGTGTGCACATCAGTTGAATGTGAGCAACAAATATTTGTACTGCACTAAAATATCACAATCGTTCACCCCGATGACAACC